CCCCCCCCCCCCCCCCAATGCTGCCAGAAGACCAAGAAGGATCCAGAAAATTCAGAAGGGGACGACAGGGACACTTGCCAACTGAATAAAATGTTATTTATTTTACTGAGAATGATTGCAATATAGTACCGAATTTCACAGAAACTTATCCTCAAAATTTTCAAATTTAATGAAGTTTGATAATACGTCGATAAATTGCTTTTTTTTGTTATGATGTTTAAAACACGTTTGCGTTTTTATTACACACGAAAATAATTGAGCTAAATTCACTCATCATTATAAATGTGGTAAACATGAAGAAGATCATCCACTGCCAAAAGTTTTGTCTAATCGAGTTGAAACTCGAACTAACACGTGATAAATAATCAATTTACTGCAATGCACCTTTCATTAAAAAGAATTGAAAAGAGTGCCCTTTCCATATCACGCAAGAGATTATAAATTAACGCACTATACAAGGACGACACTTGTTCGTCATGTTCTTCGCGAATTTCATCAGTCTCTAGGAAAGTAATAATTTCCCCTTTCTTGGGTTATAAATAAAATGTGGTTTATAACTTTCGGACACTTTGTCTCCAAAGTTGACGTTAACTCCTTCCTCTATCCTCTTTGGTCACTCTTTGTGGTTAACATTTATCTTTTAAATAGCCATTTCTACTTTTCAACAATCAAACTTAACATTTAATTTAGCCTGCATTAGTTTTATGATGACTTAATGGCTCAGTTTTCACGAACCAACTAATTAAGGATAAGAAACCTTTGCCCTTTCTATTCATCTTGTTTTTACATTTTCTGAAGAAGAATCGGAGTCTCCGGTTCCGAAATAATGTGGTTTGTTTCCAATCTTTAGTGTTAGTAAGAGATCTGCGTTACTTAAAAAAAAGGAACTTCGCAAAATTGAGTTTATTTTTCTGAACGTTACTTTAGTAGATGTTTTTTAGTTATCAAGTGACTTAGTTTCCCGATCCCGACTATTGGAAAAGCTTTGCAAACGGTATGTTAAATCCGGAACCAATGAATTGTAAGTAAGCAAAACACATCAAACAATAAGCAGGCAAATGAAAGGGACCTTTTCTGTAAGAAAACGTTGAATAAAATTGATAAAAAATTAGACCGAATAAGATTGTAAAAGAAGTGCAAAGTCAGAGTAAAAAAAAAAAAACAAAAAAGAAAAGCAAAAAAAGAAGAAGGGAGAACTATTATTCCCTGTCCTTAGTAACAGTCCCAGAAGTCTTTGCGAAAGGTAACTCGACCCAGTTGTCGAGCTTGATTACTTCCTTACCATACCATTTAAACCGACAGCAAAATGCAACAACTTGTAAAAATTGACTTTAATGTCTCAGTAAACTCGTTAAGTACTCGAGCGGTATTTATAGTTAAGTAGCCGTTTATATTAAGTCTGTAAAATAGTAAAATACAGTAAGTAAAATTTTCATTTTACTTTTACTTTTTTTTAGATAGTTTAATATAGTTTTTTTTTTTAATAATGAAAAATTTGAAATAAGACTCTGGTTAGTTTTGAAATACTATTTTTGCTTGTTTTTAATTGTGTCTATTAATGTTAATTTTTATCTTTTGTACAATGACATAACATTATTGTAATATTTGATTTTATTTTTTAATTTATAGATGGCCACAAGTTTATCAGTGTTATCATAACCGTCACGTGTTTACCCTCTTTAAATAAAGGCGTGACCTTTAAGTATTGCCTAACCTTTACGTATTACTTAAATGAAATATCAGCCATCAAAACAGTTGTACACTGTTTTGTAAAAAAAAAAAAGAAAAAAAAAAGGGCTCACTGAATAAATGCGTCCTTTTTCATGTTCAGTTCAGAAAGCGTGGTGATTAAATAGTTTGCATCAGGGACCACGACGCCGGGGGTGAAGTGGGTCTCCGAGAATTAAGCTATTGGTCTTTAAGGACTCATCTCAGTCAATTAAAGTGCCTCTAGAAAATAAAAAAAAAATACTACCGAAATTAAACTGCTATAAAAAATGAACTCCGCATGCGTTCAGGTTCCTGTAGGTACCCTTACTAAAGCGCTGATTTGCGTCGGTGTGATGATTGAATTGGAGACAAGGGAAGAGAAAACGTTCTTTCACGTCCTCTGAGACATAGATTAGCCAGCAACTTCTGATATTCTTTGCTCACAACAGAATAAATCACGGGATTTGCCGATGAGTTAATCAAAACAAAAACCGTCACCACATCAATTTAACATGTTGTTCGACCAGTGCTTCCTTCCACGCCATGATGAGACGAAAAATATTCAAGGGAAGCATTGTGACGGCGAAAGTCAAAACGAGTGGCGTAAGAATTTTCTTGGCGCGTTCGTTTTGTCTGAGGCGAACGCTCTTAATTTTGGAGAGACGTTGTTCATTATCTGGCTTACCTTCCTTCTTCATTAGTTTGATGAAGGCACTGCTCCGATTTATTAACCGTGATATAACGATGTAGGTGAAGGTTATTATGGTCAAGGGTAAAATGTAAGAAAAAAAGGTCAAAACGCCCATGTAGACGCCACTAAAAGTGAAAGACATCATTGGGTTGCACCAGGGTAACTTTCCACCTGGCTCTTCGTGATATTTCATGACAAAGTAAAGCGGAAGACAGAAGACCAAAAATGATGCCATCCACAAACAAGCTGCAACAATCTTAGCTGTTCGTAATGTTACGGCACTGTTGATTTGCCTTGACGTTTTCGATGTGACTATTGTCCGGTATCGATCTATAGCGACCACAGCTATACACCATACAGAGGCTCCATAGAATATTTCCGGGACAGGATGCACATACAAGCAAATAATCTCACGAAACGGCCATTTGCAAGGTAACTTCTCTCTAACTACAATGGAAATGTCGGTACCAGCGTGCCGAGATGTGCAATGGCTAAATTTAGTATATATAAATCTCTTGCTTGTTTCTTCTTTCCCATCTTGGTTATGACCGTGATCACTAGAATGTTACCAATAACTCCAAACAGTGCGATAAAGACCTGAAGAGAGAGTATAAAGGCCTCATCAACTGGCATAGCCCTTTCGTCTGTTGAGTTGAAATCTGATTCATTTGCTATGCTGCAGTTCGCCATAAATTGAGGCACTTTGAGGGTTTCCTTTTACGTGACTTGTTACCGTAAAGCGTTATGGAGTGTTTGTTGAATTTAATCGACGATCAGTTCTATCATTATTGAAGGGGTCTCTCTGCCTTTTTCTATTTTGCCATTTTATTCCTTCTTGCTTGAAAGTACAGTGCACGTAAAACGCTCGCTGTCTTACATCTATGCTCTGTGAAGGGCAAAAGACATGTCATTAACAATGCAAGAGTTACCTAAAAACGCCAGCGCTAATGCTTATACTAAATCGAAGCACAGTGAATGGATGACAATTAGACCAGTTGAAAACCGTCAACATCTAGAGTTATCTCAAAAAAGAACTGTTTTTATCCGAATACTGCTAAAAACTGAAAACCTTTTTGGTTTTGCGCGCGATAAAGTCGGAATCGTAGAAAAAATGAACATAACAAGAAGGCTAACAAGAATAATAACGAGTGAGATAGAAAATGCGTTGGATAGACTTACACAGTGGCCGGCTACGTAGCTGGGGCCATCTGAAGACCTCGCCACTAACCTACAACGGTACTATAGTATATGTTCGGTATAGAAATAAATGATCAACCTCTGTGAAAGATTATAAGTTTCTCAGCCACGAAAGCGCGGGAGAGAGGTTCGTTGTTAGACAAGACGACATAGCTTGAACTTGTGTAAATATAACGTGCTGTTGCGAATGTATACCCTCCACGTGTCCTCTATATGTCCCCCGTGACACGTAATTGTAGACTGAGAGATGAAAATGTTCACTATGCAATACTATACGCCCAATAATAATAGATAGGTTTTGCACCTCTGGCGTAGATTCAAACGCAGCTCCTTGTTCTCTAACACTTTGTAAATAGCACTTTGCAGTATGTATCGCACTAAATTGCCTTACTTTTAGTGCTTGTAGCACTTTGCAGAAAACACCTGTCGCGCCCTGCAATAACTGACATTGTCCTAGCAGTTTTATTAACCACAACACTTGTATTGAAAAAAGCTTTCACATGTTGTATTAACTGTCGTTGAACTTTGTACGAGACAAGTGAAGGGAAGCCTGACTAAAAACATCAGAATTCTTCTTTCAAGTCTTATTGCGCAAAATAACCGGGAAACTAGATCTCTGGATTGGGCTATTTTGGTGGTCTCAACAAACACAGTTGTCCCAGAAACTACAAGTTTTCTCGACATTTCTTACTATTGACTATATATTTAGAATGGAAAAGAAACATGCGAACCTGGCAAAATATCAAGTGTGCTGAGAATTAAGGAAGACCAAAATAGTAAGATTTTCACCTCACAACACGAGTATAAAATTAAGAATGTATGTTTTCTTCGTTTTATTTCACGTGAACTCATAAAAATTGTCGGAGGCCGGTAAAGGGGATATGTTTTTGTTCTGGCCCTTTGCATCTTATCCTTCCTCTCCCCCCGCTACTAAACCCACCTTCCCCCTTTGGTAAACCAGATATAAGTGGCAAAATCTGTAACATATATTTGCACAGTGCAGCCACAAGACCAAGACGGATCCAGAAAATTCACAAAGGGGCGACCAAGGACGACACTTACTTTACTTATTTTTATTTTATTTTTATTTGCCACACAATAATTACAAAAAGTATAGGAAAAGATGAAAAAAGAAGTGTCGAGGAGACCTAACAGAAACTATAGGAACTTATGAGAGGTTAGGCCTCCGCGAACTACGGGCTAGAGCTGTTTCACATCAATTGAAGAAAAGATGGCGAAAAGTCGAAGATGGAAAGATTTATGAACTGTTTTCATACGTACTCAATAATTTAATGTTCAGTTTTTTCTTAAAACAGGAAAGGGATTAAGAGTTGACGACCTCCTTGACAAGTGAATTAAAAAGCTTAGGCCCTTGAAAAAAGGGCGAGAACTTCTTAGTCTTTGTACGACAGTACGGTAGACGGTAGGCCTGGGAATTTCTTTTATTGTAAGAGTGGAATTGATTGCTTTGAGAGAAATTGTTATTAAACCTTGGAGGTAAGAATGAATTTTTGCAAGAATACATAAGTTGGCCCAGTTGAAGCAAATGGATATCATTAAATTTTAGTATACCGAGGTCCTTAAAGATGGGGTCTGTATGAGCATTGAAATGTGATTTATTAATAATTCTAATAATGCGCTTTTGCAGGATAACAAGGCGGCAGAGATTGGATTTAGAGGTCGAAGCCCAAACTGTTCGTCATGTTCTTTGCGAATTTTATAAGTCTTCAGGAAAATAAGAATTTCTTCTTTCGTGGGTTATAAATAAAATGGGGTTAATAAGTTTCGAACACTTTGTCTCCAAAGTTGACGTTAACTCCTTCCTCGACCCTCTTTGGTCACTCACTCTTTGCGGTAAACATTTATCTTTTAAATAGCCATTTGTACTTTTCAACAATCAAACTTATTTAATTTAGCCTGCATTAATTTTATGATTACTTAATGGCTCAGTTTTCACGAACCAACGCCCCGCGTTCCTAGCAAAGACCGTGGAAACTGGGGATAAGAATCGTGACGACTTTCATTGTATGGAAATGAGTCTCGTGATGAGAATGCAGTTTATTTTCGGCGATGACTGAATGACGCATGTAAGTTTGGCAATGATGTAATTTTCCTCGAATGGAGGCCCTTGATTTTCGTGTAATTAGGCAGGACATGCAGGCACTTAAACAAGGAAATATCCCAAAGCAGGATGATAGATTATTATAGCGGGGAAATCCTCAGGATTTTGTGGCTTTTTAAGGCGTTATGTTTCTCACAATATTGTCGCAATTACCGGAAATGTACGGTTAATATAAATAGATTCACTTTGTTTTATATATTTAATTGATAGATTTTCGCAGTTGTTACGATGAGAAGTCGTGTTGCACTTCATAAATACTTGAGATATGAAGTATCCACTGTCACGTAATTTTTACGTGCGCACGTGCGTAAAATTTGCGTTCGCAAATAAAATAAAGGCAATGTATGAAAGGCCGCACGTACAATCATGTAAGCGTAAAAGTAGAAACTCGCTTAATTTGACGTTTAATCTCAATACTTTATGTCTTACCTCNAGTCGTGTTGCACTTCATAAATACTTGAGATATGAAGTATCCACTGTCACGTAATTTTTACGTGCGCACGTGCGTAAAATTTGCGTTCGCAAATAAAATAAAGGCAATGTATGAAAGGCCGCACGTACAATCATGTAAGCGTAAAAGTAGAAACTCGCTTAATTTGACGTTTAATCTCAATACTTTATGTCTTACCTCTATTGGATTTACGTGATTAAAATTTACGTGCGTAAACGTGCGGAGCCAAAAATCCACCCTAACGTGTCACGGATGTGTTTATACGGGTACTTTGAACTTGACTAACCACACACTCTACTTGCAGCACTTCATGTCCATATTTAATAGAAATCCCATATCGAGCTTTTCCGGAACGGGTTGGTCCAAGAATTCTATGGCTTGAAAGCGTTGATTATTTTGGAACAACTGATCACTTCAGTGGTCGAAAAAAAAAGAATAATCTCAATGAGCAAAACTTCGAGGTTAACTGGAAAGTCAGGATCGAGGATCGAGAAATCAGGAATCGAGGATCGGTTAAAAAGAACTTGAAAATAAAATAAATGAATAAATCGTGGATCAGTGGTGATGTGGGCCGCAGACTGAAGTTAAATTTCACAGAACATGACCGCGTTCGCTGTACTGAACACTAAATTCAAGTAAACTTGTCCTAGTCTGTCTGAGTCAGTGATTGTTTGGACGAGAAAGTGAAATTTTCCGGGAAAATGAAACGCTTTATCCCGGTGATACTGTAATACAAGAAAAAACTTTAACAGTTTTTAATTTTTAAGTGTACATTTGCTTTCAGTACTCCTTAATTTTCTTGTAATTGTTGTATGCCCGACCCCATCAGTAATGCTGATCTCTTTATCGTGCAGTAAACTAAGGTTCTTACCTACCCACCTACCTACCTACCTGTCTGTCTGTCTGTCTGTCTGTCTGTCTGTCTGTCTGTCTCTGTCTGTCTGTCTGTCTGTCTGTCTGTCTCTCTATCTCTCTCTCTCTCTCTCTCTCTCTCTCTCTCTATCTATCTATCTATCTATCTATCTGTCTATCTGTCTGTCTGTCTGTCTGTCTGTCTGCCTATCTATCTATCTATCTATCTATCTATCTATCTATCTATCTATCTATCTATCTATCTATCTATCTATCTACCAAATTGTTATGACGATATGACCTCTGCCTTGAAAGTAAGGGGCTTCAAAATTGCGAGTATTAATGTTGCTAGTCTCCTGCTGCATATTGAAGAGCTTCGACTAATTATGGCTGATCAGTGTCTTGATCTGCTAGCTGTTAATGAGACTAGACTCGATTCTACAATAACTGACAACTTGGTTCATATTGACGGCTATTCAATCCTAAGAAAGGATCGAAACCGTAATGGCGGCGGCGTGTGCATTTATCTTCGATCGAATATTAATTATTGCCTTAGAAATGAAATAATTCCCAATAACGAGTTTGAAATGTTAAGTGTTGATATTAAAAAGCC